GGAACTTCTCCCCCAACCATGAGTGGGAGATGAACAGATCAGCCATCAATCATCTGATTTGCAGATGGTTGTTCCCTACGATGAACCTTTTTGCCACACACAGAATCTCACTGTGCCCTCATTACTGCTCCAGTATGGGACTGGGCCCAGCTCTGGCCAAATATGTTCAGCGTCACATGGGCTGCACCCCTAACATATGCATTCCACCGATCCCATTGTCAGCCGACGGGTCAGAGGGCAGCCAACAGGTTGACAGACACCCCGAGTTTAACGTTTGTGACTTTACTGCTAGAACCGGGATCCCGTCGCGGAGGGCAGCCAACAGGCTGACAGACACCCCAGAGTTTATAGGGAGAGCTTATTACATCTCAGATTTCAACTGCTAGGATACAGGATCCCTGTGCAGCGGGCAGTTTAGGGAAGACTGAGAGATGCCCCAACAGATCTGTCCCCTGGGAGGGACCCGATCCAAAACGCCCAAGCTCTTCCTATATCTGTCCCTTATGACCGGCTGAAGTTCTTTTAAATTGTGCTTGGTTCTGTTACAGCAACTGAAGGAGTCGGGTTAAAGCTTAAACAGTTACAGGTTTATTAAAGAAGCTTATAAATCATATGGTTACAATGGCTATTGCTCTATTTCTTAACTGCTAGCAAATATAGATCTTAAAAATGGTTACAAAGAAAATAAAGATAGAAAACAGATATAATGGTACCAAGTGACAGCTTAATCTTTAAAGAGCTCTAAGTTTATGTGTACACTTAAGACAAAGGACCACATCCAGGTACAATTTTTACCCCCTTCTGTGCCTCTCGACTCCAGCGGGTCAAGCCAGGGCCAGTCCCTCAATTCCTAGGAAAGATGAATACGAGGTGGGCATCGCTTTGGAACTTCGGGAGGTCAAACACCTAACCTGACCAGCAGATAAATGGTAGATTGACACTCAGAGTAAATGTGCTGCTGGACCCATCTTTATACCCATAGGGACCCGTATCCTCTTTCTTATCTAAGATACCAGATTGTACTAGTCTGTCTTTGTGACGCCAGTTCTTAGAAGCAAGTTTCAAGTTAATTTACACTTGCAAGAGAGATAACTAAATTGTAAGTACTGGACACTTTTTTTTTTTACTGGGCAAGAGATTCCTCCTCCGCAGACGGCTGTGTGTTCGTATCAATATGGGTTTCAGTCAAGGGCACTCCTCAGCAGCCTCTTGGTCAGCAATTGGCGTATCTCTGTTTACGGCCATTCAGGGTCACACATCCTGGGCCTTCTGCTCTGTGTGCCCTGCATTCTCCAGGCAAGCAAAAATGGATGTTACAAGGGCTAGAGAGTGATATTAAAGATAAAGCAGGACAGAGCCAAAGTGATTCTGCTGGCACCAAGGTGGCTAAGACAGACTTGGTATCCAGCTCTAGTACACATGGCCAGACATCTACCACCTCACCTCACTGCTCACGCAACAGAACAGGAGGATCCATCACCCTGCCATCCAGTGCCTTCACCTGCGTGCGTGGCTCCTTGCTGGCTAACCACAACAGAAATCTAGTGTCCTCCAGAAGTTCAAACCCTTCTCACTAAACTCCCTTCTGCTTTGGAAAACAGCATGTCCGGGTCAGAGAAGGAACTTGGGGGGGGGGGGGGGGGGAGCCCGA